TGCTTCTTTTTGCTCTCTCGCTCTCTCTCTGGCTGTGTGTTTACCTCTCTGTGCATCTCTCTCTCTCTCTGTGTGTGTGTGTGTGTGTGTGTGTGCTGGGCAGAGTGACAGTGGATATCTTGCCAGGTCCATCTTGGCAATGGCCCTTGATCGTTCTCTTAGGTCAAGTCCTTGAGAGATTCGTGCCACTTTAGCTTTACTGTTCTTGTTCATCTAGTCTTGTCCCACTTCTCTTTCAGGAGAATTCACTCAGTTCTCTTGTGAACATTAGTGATAAAATGTTTGCAGATAAGCGTGCTAAGCAAGCAGGGCATTTTCTGAAGGTGCTGTCTGTGACAGAAAGACATTGATAGGACTCTGGCCTGGCCAGGCCAGCGCAAATCTGATTGGGTTTCCTCTGTGACTCTGCCACTCTTTGTGATTCTCTTCTCTCATTCCAGCTCAGTGGCTTTTCTCCTGCCCTTTGTTTGCTGTTGTTGTTATATGCTGTTGGGTTGAATAGGACTCATATCAACCCTACGAAAACCAGATCTGAACCTTGTCCTATCCCATACCGTTCTCCCAGTTTCTGACACACTGGAGCCCATTGCAGCAGTCACTGTGTCAATCCACCTGGGTCTTCCTCTCCTTTGCCATTCTTCCACCTTTTCAAGCATGATGTCTCCAGAGCAGCGCCTCTCCTCGCAAAATGCCCAAAGTGTTTTATCATCTTTGCCTCCAAGAAGCACTCTGGCTATGCTTTCTCCAAGACATGCAAATGAGAGTTATAGCCTTTGTGTTTTTATTTGGCCATCAAAGTGTTCTACTTTAACCCTTTTAATTATTAACATCAAAGTGTGCATTGTGACCTTCCCCCTCCAGCTGGATGCCTCCAGAGAAGCCGGTGCAGCAGCTCTGAGAAACGTGGCACAGAGATTATTTGACAACTATCAACGACGGTCTGAAGATGCTAGGAAGACCCATGAGGATAATAAGCATTCACTCCAGGTACCAAGTTGGTTGTTTATTGATGGGGGAACTGCAGCCTTGGTTCACTTGAGCCTCTCATTTCAAAGGAATTAGATGGGAGACACTCAATAAGGAAGTTATTTGGCAAGCTTCAGAGATGAGGCAATGTATGTCTTTTGTCCCCAGCCTTGTTTAGCTTCGGGTACAACTTTAGAGTCTATTCTGACTCATAACCCCTCTGCAGGGCGGAGTATGGGCTTTAAGTCTTAATGGAAACAGATTACCATATCTTTTTCCTATGGAGCAAATTGTGGGTTTGAACTGCTTAAGGTTCAGATCTGTCCATAGAGTCATTATGAGTCAACCTTGGCGCTGTGGCACCTAACATTAGCAACAACCTCCAGATTAGCAGCTGAGACTTTCACCACTGTGCCACCGGGCTTCCTGAGCATAGCGTTGAGATAGAGCTAACCTGCTGGGTGGCTATTCTGCTCAGAGCTCTCACAGGGCTAGTGGGAGGGAGGGAGGCCATGCCATCCTCCCAGAAGCCAGGGCTGGCCTCAGTGAAGGGGGCCAGTGACCTCAGCTTTGAAGTTCCCTCTGAATGATGCAGCAACTAAGGTTGAGTCAGTCTACATCTCTGGGTTTGGAATTCTTTTGCCTTTAAAATGAAAAGAATTGCTTCAGGCAAGTAGTTTTTATTCTTTATATAAATACATACATACATGCCTACCTATATGTACATATAATTAAAATTGCCTAATACATAAAAATATGTTAAAGCATGTTTTGTAAAATATATGAATACATATACAAATCTATACTCACAGCTATTTTGTTTGTTCTTAATCTGAAGAATATACTCTAGAACTAAAGGGAAACTTACGTGTGTCTATGTGTGTGCTGAAACTCAAAATACAGACTCATTCTTGCTGGCTGGGTTTCTAGAATTCTATGAGCTCCGGCTCCGAGAAGTTCCCTAGGAAAGCAGAGTAGGAAAGTTGTTTGAGGGCATCCCCTCAAGCTTCCTGGCATGGAGGTGATGGCTACGCTCCCATGTGTGTGAGATGCAGATAGGGAACACAAGAGAATGAGGCGAGCGTGTGTTTGAGGACCGGAAGTATATCATGTAGATCATGTGAGTGCAAGCAGCAGGGTCTAGGAGGACTCCCATCCCTTCAAAAGGGGGCTCAATTCTAACCACAGATGTCCAGAAGGAAAGGGCTCCTTGTGTTGTCGAGGGAAGCAGGACGTGCCCCCACCACTTTAACTGTACTGTTAAGAATTCCAGTTAAGATACATACTCATGTGTGCACATGCTCGCTCTGCAGAAATCAACTAAAACACTCCCACTTGTAGCTGTCGGCTGTTGAAGTGAGGCTTCTCATCCATGTTCAGCTCACCTCCTATACGTGCCTTTAAATAAGTCACGGCACAGAGGTGAAAGTTTTCCTTTGGGCTCTTTCTGATCCAACTTGGTTTTAGGTGAACATGGAATATTCTGGTTTTTTTCTAGGTAAGTTGCATTGCAAAAAAGGGGACAATGGTGCATTTGAAAGAGTTCTCATCTCTGCACCTGTCCAGCAAGTATGCACTGTAGTTACAAAAGTAAACCCTCTGTGGCTGATGTTTAGGTATTATTAATTTCTTGTTATTACATCTTCATTATGGAGCTCTGGTGACCTAATGATTAGGAGTTGTGCTTCCAACACAAAGGGAGAGGGTTTGGACTGACCAGGTGCTCCTTGCAAGAAGGATGGGGAATCACCACCCGTGTGATTTACGGCCTCTGCAAACACACCGGAGGGTCTGCTGTGAACCAGTTCTGACTCACCGCACACACCAACAAAAACAACAGCAATTTCTCCACTGATTGAGAGTTCTCATATCCCATCAGGTTTACTTTAAAAGGGACACTGAATTCCAAAGAATAATTTGGACAGTTCTGAATTATTATTATTTTTAGTCAGAAAATTATAGAAGGAAATAACACTTGTGCAACTTTATTTGTTTTTTAAAAAAAACCCAAAATCCTAAAAAAAAAGCAAGAATCTGACAACTGTTTTTTCTGACCAAAGGTTAACAAGCTTGAAAAAGAACAGAAATTGAAACAACATGTTGAAAATTTGGATCAAATGGCTGAAAAGCTGGAGGAAAAACATAACCGGATCTTGGAATTGGAAAACCTGGTGCAGCAAATGGAGAAGGTAAATCGTGGTCACTGGAAGTGTGAGCTCTTCCCGAGAGTCCCTGACAGAATAACCAGAAAGCATATCTTTCTCACAAATAGCACATTCACTGAAAACCAACCCACCCACCAAATGAAATCATTAAGTCCAAGGACCTTCTGGGTGTTCAGTAATGTTAGCTTCTTCACTTGAACATGTAACGGCATCAATTCTATAGATTCTCTCTCATCCAATACACATTCCTTTGTCATGTCTTCTAGAAAGTGTATTTCATAGAAAGACGACCCAGAGGGGTTTGTGAATGAAAATATTGGAGGAGACCCTCTGCTCTTAAAATTAGAGGGGATCACTTTAAAGCCCTCGTGTGAATGACAGCAAAGGACCTCAGTTTGCCATTCGAATCCACTGTTGGTTTGTGAAAGCTTATTAATGGCTTCTCTAAGTGAAGTTGGTATGAGGATTTCTGGACCCAGGAATTGCTGATGGGGAAGCTAATCTGCTCTTTACATCTTCAACGGGTTGACAAATAGGGAGCTCTGGAGGTGTGGTCTGTAAGGAATTGCTCTGCAAACCCAAAGGTCATGCTTCTCTGGTGGTCCCAAGCCACTAGCCACTCCTTGGGGGAAAGGCAAGTAATCTTCTCTCTTGTGATTTACAGCCTCGGAAAACTGTGGAGGGTGAACTACAACTCAGTTCTTACTCAGCACTAGTAAGAGTTTATTCGTAAGCAGAGCTGCTGAAGCTGCTGAGGCTGCCTGGACACCCTAAGCTATTGTCCTGGGGTCCTTTTGAACCTTAAGAGTCAAACCCAAACTTTTCCCAGACATCCATTTTTAATCTAAGCTAACCACTGGTTTTAGTTTAATTAGTGAAATGTGTCTTCCTTGAGCCTCTTTCTCCCTCTGGGGTTTATCTATGTGGGATCAAATTGACAAAATCTAAGAAGGTGAGACAAGAAACTTGGGGAGCAGGGGCTTGGTGGTGACAGTGGACTGACTGGGAAGGGAAAGCAAGGTTAATGCCTAACGTGAAGAAAGTGAACAGTGTCCCTGAATTGTACATGTGGAATTCGCTGAAATGGCATATCTTCAGCTGAATGTATGTATTCTCACAATATAAAATAAATAAGCAAAAAAATCAAAGTCATTACATGGAAATTGGAACTTTCAAAAGAGAGAATTTAAAGAGTAATAAAAGACTTTCTCTTCTAATAATATTGCACAATCCATTTTTATATTTATTGCATTGATTCACCGACTTGCCTTTGTTTTCAGCCTTGATTTGTTATGAGTCTGCCTTGCTTAATGTTGCTTTAGAAATGTCACTTCATCAGATTTGAATATTCAGATTTCTTACCAATAGAAATACTTTTTGTTTCCAAGCATCCCAAGAATCTAAAGTTTTATAACTCAATTAGACGGCACTTATTATTTTAATGGAAGTCCTATAAGGAACCTTTTAAAAAACATTAAGGTGACTCTGAGTGGAGTGTAATGGCAATAATACTCGTGAAAGCTCAAGAGTGTGGGCAGTGGTGGGTCACTGCATGTTGGGATTTAGAGCAATGAGCTGGGCCAGACTGTCCCAAGCATTCTATGTCCACCTACACTATGTTGTTGTTGTTGTTGTTGTTGTTGTTATGTGCCGTC